GGGGTGGGGTCGGGGGACGCTGACAGCGCAACACTGCAGATGTGAACATCGCCCTCTCACAATTGCAAGGGACCCGCCCAGGATTCCTGAATGAGACCCATTTCAGGCCCCAGCCGATGACCTGGTTTGGGACATAGACCATGCTTGCGTTGTGTGGGAAGGATTTCGGGGTCACAATCTGCAATGTAGTTGCAGAAAACGCTTCTGTGTGGTGCATGGCCTCCAAATTGCGAGATAGATTGGTAAGGGTCTGAAAGTGTCTGTGTGATGGTCAGCTGCGACATCTACCCCTGTATTTCGACTCACAGGCACGTGAGAATTTTTCCGCCAGCCCTTGGCATTTCTCAAAGAAGGGCAGCTCACGGAGCCACGCTGCCACGGAGCTGGAGGTGCTCAGATGCCATCTCTCGGTTCCTTTGGCTGCCCTGCGTTTCATCCTCCTTTGGACTTTCGCCTGGTGTCTGCAACCCGCAAGCCTCCAGCTCAACAGCGAGACAGACGGCCTATAGACCCATGAAATAAGCAAGGCTCTCATTACCCAGTACTCCGTGCCAGTAGGCATGCGCGCATTTTCGCTTTTGCTATGATGTTGCAGATAACCCTCAGAGGCATTAGAGTTAGAGTCGCTATAGAGGGTCGGCGTGGACCAAGCGCTTGGGCAGCCGAGGGTCATTCGAAGCCAGAATTTAGGACCTTTCGCTGCTCTTTCGGGTCTGATAGGTTCCAGACCATCCAGGTAGTCAGGATATCTCAGAATGATTCGACGCGTCGAGGGTCATCCGGTTCCACAGAACCATCTTCAATCCGTAGCTTTACCCAAACCATACGATGGAGCTCTGCAGACAGCACCCTGGACCACAACCTCCTGAACCTAAGCCCTACACCGTCGCTCAACAACCGGTGATTGCGCCTGTCAGGGGTGTGTTCCGACACATCTCATCGTCTTGCTGTGGATGACATTGAGCCACGGCACACGCGGAAACACTCAGGTAAAATGCATCTTGTTCAGCACGGACGCGCTCGAAGGTCATGCATAACCACGCGAAGGTGCCTCCGGCGGCATGATGCAGGGCGTGGGCTGGGCCCCTCGGCCGCGTGTGCCCAGTTTGAGGCTTGGCAAGACGGAGTGTTGATTCCATCTGGGCCATAGCATGGCCAGGCGCACTTCACATGGTCTCACAGACTCCGCCCAACACAGGCACTGCGTGGCCTGGGCAGCCTGTGGCTCTGCGTGGTTTTGGCGTGGCCTCTGGCGTGGCCTCTGGCGTGCGCTGTGCCAGACGACCGGCGTGAGATGCTGCAAGCGGGGCAATTCAGTGGAATGTGTAGCATCATCCCTCCGAGATAATGCCTAACGGGGGCCGGATACCACTGGGTTCGCTAGGCATGCAAATGCCTAGCGCCCCCCCCGAGTGCATAACAACACCCCAAACGCAGCCCACCGTGCCGGACGTTCTTCGACTGGAGGATTCATGTTCTGCTTCTCTGAAGTTTCGTCCCGCAAGCCAGAGCACGTTTTCACATGCCCTCGATGCTGGTACTGGGACCATGTGCTAAGGCGTGCCGCCCAGCATAGCAAAACCTGCGCGCCCTCCGTGGATCTTCATGGGATACCTTGAAAGCTAGGGCAGACTCAACTTAGAAAGGCTTGTGGACTTGTAGTGCCACACCGAAAGCACCTGCCCTTTCTATCTGACTCGTTCGCAAGTTTGTGTCACAGAAGGTTGGATGCACAGAAGAAAAGTGAAGGGTCACATGTGTGCTTGCGGCATCGCGAGTTGGGGCCTTGGGAGCCCTGGGAGGACGGGTTGAGAGGCCAGATTTGAAGGTTGACCGTGCAGGTTGCTGAAACATGTTCATGCAACAGGGTTTCCATCGCACTGATCTCCGCGAATCAAATCCATCCAACCGCAAAACGCCCGACACTTAGTAACAAGTCCCCACCCAAATACATTGGCAGGACTTCCGTTGCCCAGCCCACAGGGAAATGCAGGCACGCACAAGACTTCACATTCCTGACAGCGTGCCTCGAACCTGCGTGCACTTGGGGTTTGACATTCAGTATTATGCCTTTTGTTACATGGAGTGCCTTTTCAGAATGCCGCGTGCCAAGGTGGTGTTGTGCCTTAACACGCCTTCCTGAAAACAGAGGACCCCAGGTCCGGCGTAGTGTTGGGCTGTTGGGCATTCCCGCGCCCAAGCATCCTGCCTTAGAAGACGGGTGCTTGTGCACGTTGGGCGAAGGAAAGGCCTGTCCCAGACAACCTTCAGGGCTTGTGTTCCACGCTTCATGCTGAGCCGGGTTGCATCCTGAAGTTTGAAGCGAGTTGCGCCGTGGCCCTTGACGCTAGCTTGGCGAGCAGCTCTGACCGATGAAAGGAAAGCTAAGCCGCTCAGCTGTGCTCCTGCCTCCAACTCTTCGCTCAGGTTCTGCAAAAGGGTTGCAGCCAGCAGCCCTAAAGTAGCAAGGCCTCAATGTTTCGCCGGACGCCTGATAAGAGCCAGTCGCTGAGCACCAATCTGCTGCAAGCGCCGTCCCCTACCTGGGACCTCAAGCCGTGTCTCCTCATAGATCGTCAGCCTCGAAGCAGTCACAGACGAAAGCTCAGGCGAAAACTCAAGCGCATGGATTCCGGGTGCGTGGCTGGGAGGCAGAAAGCTTTCACATGCGCTCGAGCTCAGCGCCCATTACCCTGGACCACAAAAGACCGAAGCAAAAATCTTGCAGTGTGCTGCTGCTATCTAGGTGCAGTTCTGCAACGAGCCTTTGCAAGTGCGACATCTTGTGATGCCCATCATGAAGCATCATTGCAAGAGTTAGCCGCGGTTCGTTTCCAAGAGTCGGCAGCTTGGGCTTTTTTGCATTTGCAATCTGTTAGCACAGAAGCCGCTGTCACACCTGCCAGCCCCCTGCCCGAGAGAAGTTGCAGCCCATTGCTTGAGCGCCTGCCGTCGCACCACTGGCCCTGTGTGGGACTCCGCCGATGTTTGTGCTTTAGCATTGTCGGATTAAATCGTAGGCCTTGGGTGTAACCGCCTAAAAGCACAAAAGGAGTAGAAGGTGGAGGTAACCACCGTCATGCGCCAGAGCGCCAGCCTACTTGGGCATTCTTGTGAAAGGTGGGCGTCCGGCCTGCGTCCTGTTTTTCGCGTTCTGCACATCAAAGTTTGCATGAGAGTAGACGTGCGATGTGAAATTTTCCAGGTGCCATTTGGAGTCAGGAACTGCGTTAATGGCGAAGTTGTATAGAGCACAGGCGCAGTTGTGTAGAGCACAGGCCAGAGGATTGCCATCACTCCGGTGGCTTGTGAGAAGTCGAGCGACAGTTGCAAGCACACTGCGGAACCTTGGCTTCATACTACTTCTCCCCATAGGCAGCAGCTGCGAGATGCGTAGTAGCTTCAGGCTTTCGAAGCCCTTTCAAGTTGCGAGGACCGCTCTGAGTACTAGGAAATGCTAGGAACAGATGCTGTAGAAGCCCTCCGTTCCCCTGGACCCTTCGGAGCAGCATGGTCACTCCACACCTTTGCCGCAAGCCAGCCCAAGCTGCGCCGTCTTAGATGCTGCGCAGATGCAAGCGGAGTGTTTTGCGGATGTATCCCGTCTGCCGCCCGACGGCTGCGTGCTCATGCTGTAGCAGCAAGCGTGGGCTATTCGACCCTACGACCCCCCCCCCCCCCCACCACAAAAAAAAATAAGTCGATTTTTAGGGTTGATTATGGGGGTGATAGGGCCTATAATGGCCCATGCTGTAGCAGAGCATCTGCGGATTCCGTGGCTCCCTGCTTACGCGTCCTGGGCCTGTTTTGCTGAAGCCAATGGGACGTTCAGGATGTCTACCGGCTGTAGACTCATTTTGTGTTTGCACACTTGTACCCTAAACCCTAAACCCTAAACCCTAAATGTGCTCCCTGAGGATGTCTGTTCAGCAAGTTGAATCTGCCATCATCTGCCCATGTGGCCCGGCGGCAGGCATGCCTCGATGCCAGATTTGTCGGGTTTTCTTGGAGGTTCCTGGGTACTGAAAACCCCAACTAGAAGTCTACTTATCACCTACTTAGAGGACTTCGGGGACTTAGGGGGCTTCTACAGTACGGTTGTAATTGGGGTTACTAAGTGCCCATGAACGTCCAAGTAGGGTTTCAGGGCCCGGCTCTGCACCGTGCTCGGCATCATGCTGAGCATGCTCGGCGTTTTAGGGTTTAGGGTTTAGGGTTTAGGGTTTAGGGTTTAGGGTTTAGGGTTTAGGGTTTAGGGTTTAGGGTTTAGGGTTTAGGGTTTAGGGTTTAGGGTTTAGGGTTTAGCCAGGTTCCCGATGCACCTCATGGGGGTTTTAACTTGCAACTTCAGGACGAAGAAGCCTTGTTTCCTTGGCAGCTGCGTTCTCGAAGTCTCTCAAGGACTTGTAAGAGCTGCAAGAGAAGCTTAAGAGTAGAATCTCTACAAGGAGCGGTCCATTTGAAAGAGTCGGGAGGCGTTCAAGGGTTCACGCAGCGCCATGTTGCCGTCTCCGACTCCGACGCTTGTCAGAGGCATGTCCTGGTTTGTTTATTCACGCCTCTCAGAGCTCTCAGTCAGCCATGCCGAACTCATCTATTCTGAGCGCAGGGCGCGCCCAGGGCGCCGCCCCGCCGAGATAAGAACAAGCAACATGCACCGATCAGCAGCCAGAAGGCGCATCGACAGCTTGGACGGTATTCCCTGCCTTCGGAACACATCGGAAAATCTTTAGAAAGGTCATTCAAGGGGGAAACCTAGCGTTGGGTAGTATAGAGGGGGTAGTGGGGAACGCATGAGGCCTGCTAAGCTGTGCATGGGGTGTCGTGTGGAGCAGTAGAAGTAGGGCTTCGGTTTAAGTTTAAGGGTCTTCAAGCTTTTTGCTGTTTCCTCGGGGGGGAGTGGGCGGTTTAGGGTACTTCGAGCCGCCTCTGGGCTGCAGCTGTCTCACGCCTCCCTCAAAACTCCTCCTTACCCCTTTCCTAACGCATTATGCCATGCCATGGAGCTCCGTCAGCCCATCGCTGTGGTTGTGACGGCGGCCCTGAGCTGCCTACTGACTCTTAGTGGCCCTTTCGGTGCCCCTTTTCACTTTAGTTTGTTTTTGGTTCAAGGTTCCCGTGTAAAGTAGCTAACCCAAAGAAGGGTGCCCGTTTTGTCATATGGGTTTGTATGGGTTTTGGGGGTTCAGGTTTAAGAAGGGCACACAGGTTGCACACCCGCGAAACATACCCCGAAATATACCCCGTAACATACCCCCAAAATTGCAGGGTGCCGCGAAACATACCCGAAACATATCTGAAACATACCCCGAAATATACCTGCGAAACATACCCCGAAATCCCAACACCTGTCGCTCGCCCCCCCCCCCCCCCCATTATCGAACAAACCCATATGGTTACTGGGCTACCGAGGACTGGCGGGCTGGCCTTTGGCTTTTCGGCCCTGATTCCGAGGTTGGAGAGAGACGGGGCATTTCGCGAGGACTGCCATGAGACTGGGTCGGCCCGTGGGATATGTTCAGTTTTCCCTTCTTTTGGGGGTTCTAGACGGGGATCACGGTCCAGGAGCATTCATTCAGAGGCGTTTCTTTGGGCGGGCCAGGCCTAAACCCTAAACTCCTAAACCCTAAAATTTAGAGCCGTCTAGAGCCGTTTCTTTGGGGGGCCCAACCTAGGAGAAGCACCCCTGTCATGCCCAGCGCATGCACCTGATCTGGGTCTTCACTGCGGGAATTTCGGCCTCAGGGTTGTCCACGCTGCCACAAGGCATTCTTGGCGGGGGTGGCACCCGTTTGCCATTGATTTTGGTTTTTGGAGATACCCTCAGAAGCGGTACCCTCATTACACTCTGTGGTGCTGGGGTACTGAAAAGTAGAGTTAGAAGTAGTAACAGGGTACTTCGCACCCTACGTCGAAGTACCCACGAACCTCCGAGTACCAAGGCATCTTGATTGATTCTTTGGGGCCCAAAGCCAGTGGGCTGGCTTTCGGCACTGCAGTGGCCGTCGGCTGCGCCCTCTTTTCTCTCGGCGGCCTCTGGGAGCATGCATACATCACAGGCTTCGTGCTGCTTGCCGTGGGCGGCTCGGGCGTCTACGTCAGCGCCCTCAGCTTCGGAAACCTCTTCCCAAGACACGCGGGCTTCGTCGCCGCCATCTTCGTGGGCTGCTTCGACGCCTCCATGGTCATCTTTCAAGTCCTTTCCCTCCTCATATCCTTGGGCCTGAGAGTTTCGACCATCTTCCGGGCGTATGCTCTCCTCTCTGCCCTTCTCGCGGCCGCGGCCGGTCTTCTCTGGCCTGCCGCGCCCGTGGCGGGCAAGAACCGTGAGAGTCATGAAGAACCGGAAGGCGATGGCTTCTGGAGCAAACTCCAAAGTTTGGACTTTGTTCTCTTCGCCTTTACCGTGATCGTGGACGTCCTATGTGTGAATTTCTTCCTGGCGACGGTGTGGCCGAGGCTACGGTCGGTGGCGCCAGATGATGCGAAGATGCTGAATTCATCTCTTGCAGTACTCCTGCCAGCAGGAATAGCATCGGGCTCTCCCAGCATCATGCATTCTGGCCCTCAACCCAAAACCTTACACTCTAAAGCCCTAAACACCGTTTGGCCCACCTGTTTTGAGCTCGTGTGTTTCAAGCTGATCTGTGGAGGGGGGCGGGGTGGCCTAGAATAGGGGCAGCCTTCTTGCGGGGTCCTATAAAGGATGACAGTATTTTGATGAAGTTTGGGGGTATAGAAGGTGGTACCGCTATGTTGGGAAATATGATTACCACAATCAACCCCTCCCTTCCTTCCCCCGAACAGTACTTCTCCTCTAAATGCACGACATGGGGAATCTTCGTTGTTCCTTATTGGGAGTAGGGGGCGGTGTTGCAACGCAATGTCAGGGTCACGGGGTTTCGAAAGCCAAGCCTGCCAAGAGGAGCCATCCTTTTTGTCCCATTGCTCGGCTACCTCCTTGGCCAGCTGGGGCCTGCGGCCGGCTTCCTCGCCCTGAATGGTGCCCTCTGAAGCATTGCTGGCTTCCGCAACCCGAACCCTGAACCCTGCACCCTAAACTGTGTTTGCTCCTTTCATTTTTGTCATGATATCACAACATCCCGCTGCTAATTGGTGTTGCAAAAGCCAGTTGCACGTAATTAAAGTCTTGTGTCTATTCTCGGCATTCTACGTGGGTAGTTCTAGATTAGAGCCCTTGTCGCGTCCCCTAATACTACCACTACTACCACTGCTACCACGACTACCACGACTACCACTACTACCACTACTACCACTACTACCACTACTACCACTACTACCACTACTACCACTACTACCACTACTACCACTACTACCACTACCACCACTACCACCACTACTACCACTACTACCACTACCACCACTACTATACCACTACTACATGTAACGGTGTAGTCGAAAGTGCTATTCTGCAGATACTTGATGTAGTCTGGGGTTGTTGTGCAACACATGACCAAGAACCCAAACCCTCAACTCCTGTATGACCCTACAAGACTCTAGGACCCGAAGACTTAAGGGGTATAAGGAGGGGCCCCTAGAAGGGGCCCTTAATCTTATTCCCCTACAGAACCCCTTTTGATACCGTGTATCGCTAAAGAACCCGTGAGGTCCCTTATAAGGTTCCCTCTTCTAGTCCCTTCAAAGACAGTACCAAGGTGTTTATTGCATCTTCGTGCACATGCTCACGCGGCCCGGCTAGCGTTTAGAGCTTGAAGGGCTCCATGCCCTAAACCCTCCCCGCAGACTACACCCTAAAACGGAATCCCCTCAACCCTACGCCCGAAGCCCGAAACCCTGAGCCGCAAACCCTAAACCCTAAACCCTACCTGCAGGGTCCTAGGCTCCAACGCCTACACCCTAAACCCGAAGTAGGGCGCTCTGGGGCTTTTGGGTGTTTCCAGGGCCTTAGTTTTCAAAGCCTATGAACCCTAAACCCTATAATACCCTAAACCCAATAAACCCTATAAACCCTAAACCCCTACAAGTCCTATAAACCCTACAAATCCTATAAACCCTGGACCCTCTATGAACCCTAAACCTTAAACCCTAAACCCCGATTTCTAGGACCCTAAAAAACGATAAAGCAGAGCCTCCCGAGCTCTAGTCTCCCAAGTTGGGCTCAGGGTTTAGGACTTAGGATTTAGGGTTTAGGGTTTAGGGTTTGGGGTTTGGGGTTTAGGGTTTAGGGTTTAGGGTTTAGGGTTTAGGGTTTAGGTTTTAGGTTTTAGGTTTTAGGTTTTAGGGTTTCCCCGAATTTTAGAAATCTGTGTCGTCTGTCGTATCCATCCAAGGGCCTTTCATTTTCAGATCCCGGGGGGCAACGCGTACATTTGGGTCGCCTTCGTGCTGTTCGCGCTGTGCCGACCGCTGGTCTACTCGTTGGCGAATACGCTGTGCGGATCGGGGCCCCAAACCCCAAACCCCAAACCCAAAACCATAAACGTAAACCCTAGATGACCCTCAACCCTAACCCTAAACCCTAAACCCTAAACCCTAAACCCTAAACCCTAAACCCTAAACCCTAAACCCTAAACTGCCCTAAGCCCTAAATTACCCTAAGCCCTAAACCCGACGTTGCGCGATCTGCGGGCCCCCCAAAGACCCTCAAAATTTAGCGCGCCCTTAAGTTGTAGGATGGGCGTTTCGTTTTCGGGCTTGCTTTGAGGGTTCGGGGTTTGGGGTTTATGGGTTTAGGGTTTAGGGTTTGGGGTTTAGGGTTTAGGGTTTAGGGTTTAGGGTTTAGGGTTTAGGGTTTAGGGTTTGGGTTTCTTAAGAACCACTCCCCAAAAAAAGCCTGCCCCTAGATTGCCCTTGCAAGGAAGAATATTGTCATCCTTTGGGTGGTTCTTAAGTTATTAAGCTAAACCCTATAAACCCTAAACCCTAAACCCTAAACGTAGTAAATTACAAGCCAAATCAACATGGACCGCCAGCCGCAGGAGAGCTTTTCGGCTACCGCTGCTTCGGCAGGATCTACGGCCTCGTGATGAACCTCGGGCGGCTCCAAGCCCTAAACCCTAAACCCTAAACCCTAAACCCCAAACCCTAAACCCTAAACCCCAAACCCTAAACCCTAAACCCGGTGGTAAGCCTCCTGTTTTGAGGAGTACGGGTGGACCTCTTTTTTGGGAACTACAAGAGCCTTTCTAGGCTCTAACCCTAAACACAAAAGGGGCAGTTGCATGTGGTGTCACTCGGAACTTCCCAAGTTATTCGCCCAAACCGCTGACAGGCCCAGCTCACGCAAGCTACTCCAAAGGCGGAACAAGATAAAACCTACTTGGAGGTTCATGGTACTTATTAACGAATTATAACTGTACTTATAACCCGCTTATAAGCCCCTTAAGTGCCCTAAAAAGGGTTCTAAGTACAGTTATAAGTCCCGTTATAATTGGTTAATCAGTACCACGAACCTCCAAGTAGACCAGACCCCAAAGCAGGCTCCAAATCAAGCCCGTTGGGGCGCTTTAGGGTTTAGGGTTTAGGGTTCGAAGGCCGCCCAAAACAGGCCCCGGGAGGCCCCACCGCCCCCCCGCAAGAAAAGTACAACAATCGGATCCCAAAACAAACTCGGGTCAACACTTTCGGTCGAATCGTTTCGGTCAAATTTTCTTGGGGCCCAAACCCTATTCAAGTTATATAAACCCTAAACAGGGGTAGGTTTGCACATAGTTTTTTTAATGTATATTACCCTTAATCCCCCAAACAACCCTCATATAAAGCCATAAGATTTTTCATATTTCTAGGGCCCCCAAACCTGCCCCAGCACACCCTGAACCCCACATGCTTTTCTTAATTCTTAAAAACCCTCACCCCTAAACCCTAAACCCTAAACCCTAAACCCTAAACCCTAAACCCTAAACCCTAAACCCTAAACCCACTAGGACCCTGGCGGGTCTGTGCAGCCTCCTGGTGCGGCCCCTGGCGAGCTTCGCTTCGGCGCACACCTATCTGGCAGTCGACTATGGCCTCCTTCTCCTGCAGGCGCCGACTACTGTTTGGGGTTTGGGGTTTAGGGTTTAGGGTTTAGGGTTTAGGGTTTAGGGTTTGGGGTTTGGGGTTTAGGGTTTGGGGTTTAGGGTTTGGGGTTTAGGGTTTCGGGTTTGGGGTTTCGGGTTTGGGGTTTCTTCGGAAGCTTCAGCGGGTGCGGCCCCCGCGGGTAAAACCCTCAACCCTAAGCCCTAAGCCCCAAAGCCCTAAGCCCTAAACCCTAAACCCTAATCCCGAGGCATCCACGGCTGCGCTGCCACTCCGGGTTCTATGGAATGGCTCGTCGCGTGCGCCGATGCTAGAGCAGATGCGCCAAGCTCCTGGGCAGGGTTCAGGGTTTAGGGTTTAGGGTTTAGGGTTTAGGGTTTAGGGTGCAGGGTTCAGGGTTCAGGGTTTAGGGTTTAGGGTTTAGGCTTTAGGGTTTAGGGTTTCCAAGTTTTAGGGTCCTGCGGGAGGGCCTTAGTAGTTTTAGGGTTTAGGGTTCAAGGTTCAAGCTTTACGGTTTAGGGTTTTGGGTTTAGGTTTTGGGTTTAAGGCCCTTGGGATCATATTTCCCTGACTGGGCTTAAGAGGATCAGATGTACTTGGTGGCCCAGTGGTACCCTTTTCCCTTTTTTTGGTTCAAGGTTCCCTTATAAAGTAGCCAACCCAAAAAAGGGTGCTTTATTATAATGTTTGTTAATGGGCTACCAAGTGTAGGAGTTTTTTTTTGTCAAAGGGCTTTTTGGGGTTAACCGAGGCAGAAACCCACTTCTGGCGCGGCGGGTCCTGATTCCGTGCCGATTTCCCGATAGGAGGGTTTGGGGTTTACGGTTTAGGATTTAGGGTTTAGGGTGTAGAGCTTCGGGGTTAGGGTTTAGGGTTCAGGGTTGTTTAGGGTTTAGGGTTTAGGGGTTTTGGGTTCCGGGTTTAGGGTTTAGGGTTTAGGGGTGGATTCTTACAAAGCGGATGTCTGACAGATGGTGTGACGGCGGGCTCTTACGCGTGGATGTGGCAAGACATGCTGCGATTGTCTAACGACCCACCGGACTCACCGGTATCATTTCCATATTATGCATTTTATACAGTGGATGGTCTGTCGTCCAAATCCCTGCTTGGGAAGTACTGACAGCGTGCACCTAAACAATTGGGATTTTCTATCACTTCACCCTAAGGCCAGAACAGCGTCATGGCCAAAGTGTTTCAAGACCTGTGATTTGTTGATATCTGTGCGAGAAATGGCAAGAGGTACGATTTGTTGCCTCTGATTTGCTACTACCTGATTTGTTGCCTGAGATTTGCTGGTATCTGTCTGAGGCATGGCAAGATGTACGATTTGTTGCCTGTGATTTGTTGGTATCTGTCTGAGGCATGGCGAGATATACGAAGTGTTACCTGAGATTTGCTGGTATTTGTCTGAGACATGGCAAGAAGTACGATTTGTTGCCTGTGATTTGTTGGTATCTGCGTATGGCATTGTAAGATGTACGATTTGTTGCCTCTTATTTGCTGGTGTCTGTGTGACGCATGGGGAAATATACGATTTGGTTGCGTGAGATGTGTTGGTATCTGTGTGAGGCATGGTAATAAGGTATGGTAAGAAGAACGGTTTATTTCCTGAGATTTGCTGGCATTTATATGAGGCATGGCAAGATGGACGATTTGTTGCCTTTTTTTGGCTGGAATGTGTTTGAGACATGGAAAGAAATTTTGTTGCTTGTGATTTGCTGAAATCTGATGGCAAGATGTCCAATTCGTTGCCCGTGATTTGCTGGTATTTATGTGAGGCATGGCAAGATGTACGATTTGTTGCTTGAGATTTGCTGATATCTGTGTGAGACATGGCAAGAAGTACGATTTGTTGCCTGCGATTTGCTGGTATTTGCGTGAGATATGGCAAGAAGTACGATTTGTTGCCTGGGATTTGCTGGTATCTGCGTGAGACATGGCAAGAAGTATGGTTTGTTGCTTGTGATTTATTGGTATCTATATGAGGTATGGCGAGAAATACGA